CCATGAAGAACAGCAGAAACGACGAGCGTAGGCGTAATGACGCCCATCAAAGCCAGCCAGTCAACCAGGAATGCCGCATAAATACCATTCAAAAGAAGGAAAGATTAAAAAAAAACTATATATATATATATATATATATATATATATATATATATATATATATATAGAAATCAAACTCTTGATATTCGGGCGTGGTAGGTCTGGGCAGCTGCTGCCCCTAGCGACTGGCCCGTGGGCTATTCTGTCATCGATTCCATTTGGACTATGTCGTGCTCGCTACGGGACCGGGCATTGATATTTGAACATTGTAGCATTGTATAGTAACAGCAATCGAGTCGGCCAACTTTTCGGCTTGGACTGTTGATAGTCGTCGGATTTGCCGTCCGTCGACTGTTCCACTGCCGCCGACGAGATAAGCCTGGCCATCAGATGCTGGAAAAAAGGCAGGAAAGTGCCAAATGATCGATACCAAATCGTCGACTTCTAGCGGGCGGCTTACCCAAGCACCCGTTAAATTTGATTCTATTATCGGAAATTATGGGGCAAACAAAGGCGGACAATAGAGAGGGACAGTGTTGATTGACTAAGCTGCGTTGAGTGACCGATACGTCCGATGAAGCACACGCGTCCATCGAGAGGATTGCTGTCAGCTTATCTTCCTCATGCGGACGAATATGTCGTAGACTTGATCAGTGTATAGGATGAATTTCGCAAAAGAGAGAAAGATCAGGCTGAAGACAGGGGTAGCAACAAATCAAAATTCTATATAAAAATCACCATCAACTCACGTACACGTAGACGCGCAAGCGGTACCGATACGTAATTAATTTTTTGGATTCGAGAGGCGCACGCCAAAACTTTAAACAGCTTGTGTGATCCTAGAATATGTTTTCCACGTCTCCAAGGCGCGAAATGGTAACCATGGCAAGATAAAGCCTGACAGAGTAAACAGGACGAAAGTGAATAGTGACACAGACGGCAAATGAATAGAAAAAAAAAAAAAAACACAATCTGCTGTGCCAGCTGATGCTCGTAGAATAACAGATTAAACTTTAAATAGGGATGATAATTAAGTGGGGATTCAGATGTTGTTGCTGTATGTCTCAGAAGGATGCCAGCGTCATGTTAAAACGTCTTTGTAATTATTTGCAGCTTCCGAAATCGTCCTTCTGGATTGTGCCATGTTTGTCCGGACGGTAATTGGCCTATCTGTTAGGATGCTACTAATTTTCTGTAGCTCTAGCACCCGTTATCAGGTCATAGCAATGACTATAACTATTATTCATAAGATGTAAAAAAACTGTAACACTCAACGTATAATGAGCGGGATCAGATATGATTTGAAGGCGACAGCGTTCTAGCGATAGTTAATGCCATGTTCAAGATTCTCAGTGTTGCCTTGATTGCCATTAAGCTTAATACAGTCAGTAATCTTAGATCTAACATATTAATTATCCGCAGGAAAAAAAAAACTAACTGTTTCTGGTTGACGTATTAACAGGCCTTAGTGGCGGACACGGCATGATGTTTCAGCTATGAAAAGACCAAACGGCTAACAAGGACGACATTGTGCACAACTCGAATTCCCTGTTGGCCCAGACTATTGTCTGTGTAGATGTGTTACTTCACTCTACGATAGCTTCTCTCTTCGGGCTGCATTCGTTGAATGGTCAATTTTTACGTGTAGTGAGGCTGGCGCAAATTCAGTCACCTCGTTTCATCGACGAGCTCTCGGACACCTACGAAACTCATTCTGCGAAAATCACGGCGTGCATCGAAGTGCCACATAGTAGGAATCTATTGTATATGCCAACAATCAGCCATACGTGATGACAATAGGCGCAAGTCTAGTTGTGCGCGCTGGTAACCACTCGGCCAATTCTACCGGTTGTGCACGTGTAAAACGAAGCGTTAACTTGTCGACCGTGTTGCCCCTGAACGAAATGTTGACCTTGCACCCACGCACCGAGGAACGCCCCAACAATTCTCGATTCTACGAAGTTGTCGATAGCTCTATCGTGCAAAGTATCTATGTGAGTAACTAAAAATTAGCCGTGAGGCTAGAAAAAAAACGAAGCGCCTATTGCGTACAGTACAAAATGGAAACGAAGCGTTTTGCTCTCGCGCTCGCTTCGTTTCATGTCCAATGATAATATTTCTTCATTCATGGCTAATAAAGCACCTCAATAGCGATGTAAGATGACAATTTCTCCGTGTAGCTCACTAACTCGTATCTTCTAACTCTTGAAGGGGTAAAGGAAGAAAGTACGTGAACCGTGTTGATAGACGCAGTCGTACCGAGAGGCCCCGGACGCACGAGGAATCTATCGAGTAATAATTCGAAGCAGAGTTGACCGCCTAGAGTGTTTCTACGAGGAACGATACGCTAGCGCTTCATGCATCAAAACCTAATCCATCTTGCAAATTAAAAGAAAAGTTTTGCCAATTGGATTATTTTCACCTAATTTATAATCTATATGATAACGTCACCTAGTATCGCGTTAACCGGCCAAAATTTCCTAGATAGACAGCCTTCTCGTCGATGTTGAAATTTACACAGTGACTATATATTATCGGTATCTAATCGCCTTAGTCGCTTGTCCATGACGCCGGTAGCTCTGCTTGATCACGTGCTTCCCACGTACGATTCGGCCTTATCGTCTATCGAACGGGAAGCAGCCGTAAATGAAGCCAGCCCCGTCGCAGTGTGGCCAACTCTTCCTCTCTGATAATCTATGCCATTTTTATTACTATTAATGGCAGTAATATTATATATGATATATGTGTACAATAGCGAATTAGTCATCACGTCAAATATAGCATCGTATTATCGATGACGCGTTTGTACAATGATGAGATGCGATGGGCCAGGTCATGCATGCAATAGAGCAATGGGTGGCTGGTCGTTCCTCGACGTCGGCGTCAAAACCTCCCGACGGATCGACATAACGCGCACGCGAGGAAGGAACAGAAATTTTTTCGTGTACGCACGTGCGAAATACGCAATATCATCGAAATTACATTTGTTTTTGGCATTCGCCTGCCGTACGCCTGTCGGCGCCATCTGATGGAGTGGACATGGCGGTAGGAAGCCTATACAATACAGAAGATATACTAAACGACGACGACGTCGAGTTCCAACTCTCGATTTCCTTTTCCTTCATTCGTAGCAGATTGCTCGGCTCATTCTTCAGCGACCCCGAAACCTGTAACTGCACCCGAAGGCGATTAAGGCTGTATTGGCATTGAGCCTTGCTTTAATTACGAGACTGTTCCGGCCGCAAGCTTCGCTCATTTACCATTTTGTTCTGTTATTATTAGCAGTCTAACGCTAGTCGCTAAGGCTATCTGTGTTAATTATCGATCGAAATTGTCCTGGTTAGCAGTGACGGACGGTAAGTCTCGTTCGAACATGTCGGTAGGGGGGCGCCGGTAGGCCGACTGGCCGTATTAAGCACTTTTCGAACGATTCCTCCTTATCTCTGTCATTCAACGCCATGTATTCTGTCAGTGTTTAAGCTGTATAGATGTATGGCTTTGGTCTTCCCGTTCATGCTTAAATTTCGTCACAACGGCGCTCGTGGAGGTCCATCAAGGAATCAACGTGCGTTATTCCAGTCCAGATAATAGTTAGGAGTGACGATCAATGACGCGAGTGACATGTCGGAATTATTGGTCAAGACAGCACTCACTTCTCAGGTGACACTTAATACGCTATGGAAAAATTTCCTCTACGAACAACAATGATATCTTTGCGACTTCTCTTGTAGCCAGCGTTCAGCGTTTTTGAGTGCGTTTCATTAGCAGCTTCTCAGCTTAACTAGATGACGTGGTGTCCATAGCGGTGGCTGGCAGTAACGCTAATGATAACGCCGTGGCGGCACGGTATAGCGGATGAACCGATCTACCTTTATCTTTACTCCAGCAATTTGTTGTTCTCGGATCCGTACTAATTTCTTCACGCTGGCCCTCGCGACACGAGCGTGACCTTGTGCGCTCATCAGCTCCACTTAGCTCTGCTTGCAACAACAGTGGCTCTCCTATCAACCGCTACCTAACATAGCTAAGTTGTTTTTTCGAATAAAACAGATAGATCCTCGCGCCTGCGGCGAAGCCTTCCACCGCAGGTAGCACAATTACGTCGCGTTACCCTGCGTTGCCTGGTTTCTACGCTCGCTCGGGGTCTGTAATCTTATAGTAAGAAGTGCTTCTTGATCCTATTCGTGCCTTTTGTCATGGGGTTATCTCGAATAGCAACGGGTCGCTGATTTTTTTACCGCCGGCACGTCTATGGCCAGACATAACTTTTGTCGAAACGTCCAACGAGTCGAATGCCGATGGCCTACAATATTATCGCTAGCAGCTGTTGCTACGACTGCCGGGTTTACTGTGGGCGTTGGCTCTTGCGACTGACGTGACATTCATCAGCCACTCACTCAATCACTTAAGCAAAGAGGCGGCAGGTGAAGCTTTGCTATTAGTGGCGGCGCTGTTTGTCGCTGCTGGCGCCTTTTTCACCGCCTCTGGCAGCTGTACGTCTCTACCGCCGCAGCCCGCGAAACCGACCCAGCAATGCCCGCGGTGACGTTCCTGCTCAGTGGCGCCGTGCTGTTTAACTGCTGATACGACTACTACAGCTGTTACTAGTGGATGCGCGAGCAACGTAGCCGTCCGCCAACAGTTGCTCTAGCGGCGGCAGCGGTGGCCCTTTCCGCGCAACGCCATACAGAAGACGGTTCGCGGCCGCAGAACGGACCCACCATCGCTGGCGAACGGACAGATGGATCTTTCGTCAAAGGCGAGCGTGCGCGTGCGCTCAGCAGTTCAGCGCTGTTAAGCGTTCGTCGCACGGGAGCTCGTGCACTTTAACGGAACAAGAGTAGTTCAATTCAGGCGCAGGAGAAGGCGCATGCATGCACACACACACAGTGAATCGTGTTATGTCCTCAGAGAGCCCTGGGCGTCATTGTTGTCGCCATTACTTCGAGTGAAAGTAATTAGTAACTCTGCAGAAGATATTCATTAACGGTGTAGCAGTTATTATATATCCATATGTTGTCGCGCCACTGTTTCTACGAGAAGAGGAAGCGATCGGTCTAGCGAAAGTCGAAAGGGAAACAACACCGACGCCAAGCGATCGAAGTTGTCGTGTTTCGTCCGCTGTTACTACAGTGTTGCGCACGAAACCTTGCCCAGTAGAGTGCTATTATTCGAGTGAGCCAATTTTATTGAGCTCCTGCTAATGCTGTTGCGAGCGGCAATAAATGCCGCGGCAAAGGGACGCAGTAGAATAACACTTATCTTCTAGCCAGCCAGCCAGCCAGCCAGCCAGCCAGCCAGCCAGCCAGCCAGCTCGGATCGTGCGTGGAGCGGTGGCCGTAATCGTATCGCAAATCGAATATATAAGAAATAACGAGCTCCGAAGCCAGCAGTGTGTCACCAAAAACGTACGCCTTGACATTCTTCACCTTGTCCTACTGTTACTGCGCAGAATTCTTAGAGCATTCGTTCGATTGAACTGCAGTGGCGGGACTCCGTTTCGGCCCAACATCGCACGGCGGCGTCCGTCTCAAAGCACGTTGCGGCCAAGAATCGCTCCGACGAATCCAGAGAACTAGACGACGACTGCGGCCGCGGCTACGGCTACGAAAACACGAGCGTCCGAGAAATGGCGATGCGTGCTCACGCGTAAAATAGACGCAGATGCTACGACACGAGCTGTTCACGAAAAATCATACGCTGGCCGTGCTATCATCGCGCACTATGAAACCATCATCTAAGAGAAACGAAACTATCCGTAAAACACAGGAAGTAACAACTCTAGCATTATGCGTAACCATCAAATTACGGTATTGAAATGCCGTCGTGTCCGTAGATATACTGTTGCTATTGAAGTGACTGTGTTATCTCAGCCGAACTGATTGCCAGCTGTAAATATTAAACTGGCCGTCTATCTTTATAGTAAGAGTTTATAATCGTTGCGTATATGTATGTGGAAATGATCTCGGATCATAATTGTAGCATGCCGATACGTGTTGCGGTATAAGGTCTGTTAGTTTAATACAGGTGCAGGAAAAAAGCACATACAGTCAGAGAAAACGGTTTTATAGTCCGTTCGAGATGGATCGTGGATGTCGTCCGAACAAGCGAGTTGCGACCACGGACACAATCGCCAATTATCAACGGGATCTTTCAGTTTGACATTACGTGTCGAAAGCTACGACTTTCGGTGAACACGCGGATAAAAGAGAAAAATATATTGTAACTACCCGTGCAGCTTTGAACGCCACAGTTCCGACTTCTTTAGTTGTGCTAGTTTGTTATTATCAATGGACTCGTTCGCAACTTTACGCGTGACCTCTTACGGAATAGGCATGTCGCGGAGTTCGTACTCGCAGACGGTGAGAATCACCCGCGTCGAACGGAACTGGAAAAACGTGACCCTACTATCGTACAAGACGAGCTCGTATGAGTCGCATTTGTAAGAACTCTTCCGCACGCATAGATAGATAGATAGACGGACATTGACCACTTGTAGAAATAGCTTTACAGGGTGATTCCTGCGCAACGATATTCACGATCACACATACACACCCTAAAAGACTTGTCGAACTTCAGGGGAAGTGACGCGCACCTTTGTGCGCACTTGTTTTGGGAAATGAGGCCCGCGAAAAACACGACATATGGCGTGTTGCCTGCGAAATGAATAATTAACGAAAACTGAAAATAGCTTTCGAAGCAGCAAAAGATCAACGTGGGTATAAAGTCAAGTTTGTAATGATCTATGGCCTCGATCGTTTTTGTTTACGTACACGCTCGTAATGCGCTGCGCGTCAAGTGCACAAATTATGTTCATGTTTTAGGAGAAAAACGAGATACGTATGTACATATCACGAGACGTAGAGCTTGGCTTTGCAAGGACGCGCTCCCCCTGGCATATTTAGCCGAGCGATGAACACATGTTGTCGTTGTTTCTTCTACGCCTGACGCCCCCCTGACGAGGGGCATCAAAGCCTCCAGCGATAATTAGTTGCCATCAATCACGGCAGCTAGCGTATTAGGCACCCGTAATTCGTCACCCTGTGCGAATAGCAGTGGCCAAACTGTGCCACGTTTACGGTCGCCGGCGTCGCTGCTTTAGCTGCTATTGTTATTATTGCTGGTCGCTTGATTACTGAACTATTGTTTGTCATGCGGTCGGCATCGACATGGGGAGGTTTGACCGTAGTTTAGCGCTCAGCGTCCGTCGACGAAACCAGTTGAAATCGCCATCCACAATAAACTACGGGCTCGCGCGCCTTTCGGGTCAGCGATGTCCGACGGCCAATGACATGCCGTTTTAAAGCGTTCGCTCGGATACAACTCCGGCTCAGCAGAATCAGATCGTTGTAATTGAGTTTAGCTCATTATTATTCTGGAGTGATCGCTGGGCTATCTGAACAGGCCTCCTAGGTAGGTGCCACTGACCGTATGTGTACCTGCATTTGCATATGCAACGACCGCATCAGCAAGAGCGATCCATTGCTGCCGCAACAACCCTAGTAACAACGCCCGTCCTCGTAATATTTATTTTTATTTTAAGCGCTGCCCAACGTCAATGCTCACGCTGTGCGGCCTACGTTCACTGCGAGCAGCTCTAGCAGACTCAAGCCAGCCCGGCTTCGTCGCGTAATGGCCTGTGAAAAAAACGCAAACGATGAAATCCTCATGCTGCCACAACAAGAGTCGGTAAAATCGCAGCTTATCGTTTCAGCAAGAGACAAGGGACAGTCGTAGGGATATTGACGGGCCGTACCCGTAGCACCTATCATCGGCGGTGATCGACGTAACTATAACAACATTTCACAATATCTAGAGAAGTCCTGTGTAGGCATCGCGTGGCAGCGCCTACGTGGCCGTTGCCCACCACTGCAAACGCAACGATATTTTTTTTCGCCGGCGAGAAAAAGGGAATACATATATATATATATATATAACGATTTAACTAGCAGGGCTGTGATTAACAATCATCTGTTAATTCGTTCGCCAATCATTTTACAATGCAGTAGGAGATTGTTGTTCCAGGTAATAATTACCGTCTGTTACTAATTTCACTGTCAAATTCAACTTGAGTGTGACTCTAAATGGCTACAAGAAGGGACAAAAGAGGATTTACGTTTGTGGTTGATCCATTTGGGCCCATTACGCCACATTTCGCCGACGCATGACAAATGCAGCAACATGTATATGCGAGAAATATGTAGAAAAAACACATATCTAGGCGTCTGCAATGGGGTACGTGCGAGCCCAAAAATGGGAACAGAGTTTATCAAAATTTTCATTTTTGACGTAGCCCCGTATTAGGGTGAGAAAGTAGAGTCCAGTAAAAACCTACAAAAAGCATTTTCGATGAGTTCCTTTGTCATACGAAGCATCATCACCTCTATACGGGAGTAAGCTTTAAAGACGCAAATTGTCGGTCATGCTATACATTGTTTACAGTTGCTAGCAGGCTTGCTAAGCGTCGTTTGTTGGTGGGCCATTCGAGTTTTGAAGTCGAAATGAAGTCACTTGAATCCGTCCGCTGTTACTTGTCTACCATGCAGAAATACCTGCTATGAAGTCGAAACAGTGAAGAATAACGTGGACCAACCCAGCATAGGTCGATAGCTTGTAAGGACGCCAACGATGACGACGCGAATCGAATAAGAAGAAAGCAATCACTGCAGACATTATGGATCTGGATGGGTCTGGGTCGAATTTCGTGTCGGCCGCCGGTCGGGGTCTGGATGATGCATTCGGCGGCAACAGCAGCTGCAACGAAGGATCCAGTTAAAAAAAAAAGACAAGCAACCGAAAATGTACAGCCTAAGTGGCTAATCGAACGACGAGAAATCGAATGTGCTTTTACGGCGACAGTAGCAGTAGCATCTTGGGCTGCTTAGCGGTGTGCTTGACTTATGTGAGCGTGGGGACTGCATGTCACTAAAAGGTAAAATAAGCATTGCGGTAAAGGGCCAACGAATTGTAGTTAGTCGCTCCATGGCACGTATGTATATGCGAGAACTATTTGTTTTGACAATACGAAGAAAATTCAACGAAGGTCTTACTATGCGGCTCCTGAGCAACGCTCAATAGAACACAACAAAACAGCGGCGGCATTCAGCGTTCGATAACTGGCTATTTTTAGCTTTACGAAAGTACGACCATCATCAACATTAGTACCATAAGGGTAGTAAGTCTGCTGTAGATCTCTGTGTAGAATGTTATTGCGGGGGTGTTCGAGAATATGTATAGTACTTTAAAGTACTGAAAAACTCAGGGTTTTAACAAAACTGTAAAACAATGGGCCCATATTGGACACGTTAGAGAGTACTTGTTGAAAAAAACCTCTACATGCCGTTGGAACCCCGTATATTCTCGAGTATGTAGAGTTATGACCAGCGGCAAGGAATAATAACTGAGCGTCAATCAGCGTAGACTAACGACATTTTCGAAAAACATGGATCAGCGCCACATTCGTCTGCGACACTTATGCCTCGTTCAGCTACGAATGGTCATCGGAAAAGCGGCTTCGAATTTTAAAAACGCAAAGGCACCGAAACGATCGACGCGGGCGAATGTCGAAAAAGATTTCGGATCAATCAAGTCAGTGATGTGATCGACGAAACTAACGAATTCAAATAGTCTACGCACCGTTCTATATTTTCGGTGTTATTCCGGTCGGCGACAATCTGTAGGTGGCCGTGTGCATGGCTTAACTAAATGCACATGGAGTGAGGAAGGCCTTTTGAAGAAAACAACCAGCTCATAAGAAAGCACCACTGCTGTTGCCGTTTGAGAACGGATTGATTACCACAGGGAGTTGAGATGCTCATGGCGTATAATTGAACAATGGGTCAACAGAAATGCTGCGGGGAAGCATTTTGCTACTGCTTCATACGGGGATAAGCTTTAGGTAAGAATAACATATAAGTGGACTTATTTTGAGCTAGATTCATTGCTCCTCCCTTACGACATTTACATGAGCTATGCGCACCATTACGAGTTTCCCCCAAAAAACTTGCCCATCAGATATCGTCAAGTGATTTCGTTGATTATCGTTAATTTCGTTTTGCTATAATTGCGATTCGATCGAGTACCAAAGTGCTCCTCCGGGCAATCCCTTCCCTGACAGCAGGCTCATAACACGAAATTGTGTGCTAGGCAAAACTTTGATTATCGTCGGAGGCAAATATAGAAGGGAAAACAGTAATACAAACTGCGATTAACAGCGGCGAAACCTGCGCATCGGTACCCGAAGACATCTCTGGAACTTTTCTTCGTTCGCTGAAGATAGGAGAAGACTTCGGCCATAAGCGAAGTCCTTTTGCGAAGCCAAGTCGACGAAGTTGCGACAGCAACAACAAGATCTTCCCGCTTGCAGCTAGCTGACTGGCGAACGATGTAGAGAATGAATAACCTTCAGATGACAGAAGATTTCTTCATCATGGCTAGCCGCGGATCGTTGTTATTTGGCGTTTAGTACGCCTAGTTTGTGGCACAACAACGAGTACGCAAATCGAGCAATATCTAGCTATGTGTCTAGACGTGAATTACTCCTGTAAATTATACACGAAGTTTGTCTGGCTCACGGCTATCGAGACACCAATATGTCCCACCTGAAAATGCACGCTTGCGTTAGCATTGCTTTATATGTTAGATATTGAAATTGCGCTATTCTACCAATTGTAGAAATATTTCCTTGTAACCTATATAGAAACACGTGGTTCGAGAGTAGAGACGACTCCGGAAGCTAGTAGCCGTTCAGAGGGTCAGTGGACCACTTGCTTTATTTTGTTTTTTGTTTAACCATCAATCCTACACTTCCTGCAATATAATTATTGCTTTCCTGTTAGTGTAGTGGTAACGTGTAGATCCGAGCCTCCCGTGTGTAAAAACACGGTTTTGAGCTCCCTCGAAGCAATAACTTGCGGCTTGAGTTCCGTACTGAAAATTCGAAACATTTATCGATTATTTGGACAAAAACCACACAAGATTACAGGGCAAAATATGTTACAAGGTCGATCAGAACAAATAAGGTTTTTGTATCACTTCCACCGAGTGAAAATTTCTTCTTAGTCTCTATTATATCATTCTGCTTTCCACAACAAAACGGGCGTCATTAAAATAACAATAGGAGTCCATCTGGAAATAGGAAGATTAAGTGTAATTCGGTGAGCGTCTGCTATGCAAGTAACGCGTCTTCCTCGAAACGATTCGCAGCTGATCACTTATCTATTTGGTGGCCGCGAGCATTGCGAGCAATGATAAGCTGAGCCTTACCGCTATCCTTGGTCGATACTTAGTGCGGGGATGCGACCAGTCTATTGCAAACCTGGCAGCCAGAAATGAGAGTAAACATTGTCGTAAGAACATTCTATGAACTGCTCATAATAACAATAGTAAACATAAAGCCATCCTTGATAATGCAGAGTAAATAACACACGTGTATATGTATAT